TAAGCACAGCTTTGTTTGTGTGGCAGGGCTGAGCAATCGCTGAACAGAGGGTGAGCTGGCACATTGCTTGCATACTGGAGATGGGGGGAGAGAGAGAAGGGCATGAGATTTTTCCTATTTAATTTTTCATGCTCTAGTAGAATCTGGGTGAGATATCTTTGGGGAGGATGCTTGTAGTGTTATTGTGGTAGATGCGTGCTCTTTTAAAAAATAACAGAGGCTCGGGAGGCTCCTACAGTCCTTGAAGCAAGGATAGGGGCTGCTGTCATGTTTCCTACCTGGGATCATTTCTGCTGTCTGGGTTTATTGAAGTGGTGAGGTCTGGCTGGGGTAGCAGCATGGGTTTTGTTTGTGCCAGTGGGTACTGAACTGCAGGTTGCCTGACCCTTCCTGTTCACAGAGCCTAACGTCACCTGCATTCAGCTTTGACAAACCTTAAGTCTCTGGGGTAAACTTGCATATCAATTTCAGGCTTGACATGCTTTTTCTATTTATTTATTTGCTCTAATTTGAGACAAGATGGTTCGTTTTGTTACCAAGAGTGAAGTTAAGGGAAAATTTATAACTAGGTTATAATCTTGGGGTGTTTCTTAGGAAAGCTCAACTCTCCTCAGGCTTGGGAGACAAGGTTTGAAGTTTCATAGAGAAGTGGACTATTTGTAAGACTTGACAAAGTCTTCTGCCTTTCTCCAAGAACCCCCACACACAGGGCTTTACAGTTTGTTTGTTCAACCATTGCTGTGTGACCACATGGTATTTTTTCCATGGGATCCCACTTCTTATAGGCTGAAGGAAAGGCAGTATTCAGGTAGCAAGCGATCATATCATATTTGAATATTTCCTTAGGTCAGGTATGTGTCCTGCTGTGTTCTGTACTGCGTATCATTCCAAACCTCCTTTGACAGACGAGTTATTAACTTCCCGAAAGCTTTTCCTTGGCTCTTGTTGTTAATGTTGCCCAAACATGCTATAAACATTGCCTCATGAATCATCACAGAGATCATCTCTGACTGAGCAAGGTGACATTGCCTTTTGCAGATGTATTGATGAGATGATAAAAAGCTTAGGAAAAAAGTGTCCTCTGGATCCCAGGAAGCCAGGGCAGGATAACTGTATACCTTCAGAATACTTAGCGCTGCTAATATTTAGTTTGTACAAAAAGAGCTCTTACTGCTGTCTTTTAAGTACTTGGCTTTTCAACCTGAACGTGCTTTTCATGCATGTTTGTGATTAAAATGCAGTTAAAGCTCCATCACATATATCATTAGCAAAAGTGGTTATTTGCACCCCAGGAGCTCAAGTGATCCATGTTTTTAATTGAGTGTAGAGAGGAGGAAAAACAAGAGAAGCCATTATTGTTTTCAAAGAGTACATCCAAAGGGGCAGAATAATGTACTTCGCTCATGTTACAGCTCCGGTGGTAGGTGCTGTCTCTGTGTAAAGCACTTGTCCACAGCACAGAAAGTGCAGCGAGGGTCTAAGAGTGGATTTGTACTCCCTGGGGACCCCGGTTGGAGGAGGAGCACCGCAACCCCAGGCGCTCAGGGTAGAGGCTCAATGCCTGCCTGGAGTTTCAGCTGCCTTCATGACACTCCCTCTGTGGTCTCCCAGCCTGGCATAGCTGGGACACAGAGGACGTGCTGCTGTGTCACGTCCTCCCTGTAAACTCTCGAGACAGGGTCAGATGCACCACATTCTCCATAGATGCTGTGACAGCAGTGAACCCTGAAGAGACCCAACAAGGGGGCTTTTATGGTGCCCTCCAGCCTAGAGAAAGGTGACAAAATGCTGAAATTTATACCTCAAAAATAATGAGTGGCTGCTGAGGATATAGTACCTTATATAGTGCTTATATTGTTTTTCATGTGATAGGTCCAGCAACCCAGTGTGAGAGGCCTCACCAGGCGGGCAGAATGCCAGTCACTCGCCCCTGGCAAGAGACAGTCTGTCTTGTATGAACAGATAAATGTTTTGCTGCCTGTTCACACAGGTGGATATTCTCAAAGACACGGACGAGTTAGGTGCCCGGCTCCCTTTGACTTTAGAGTGATCACAGAAGAGATTTAATGCAACGTAATAAAAATCACTGTGAGAGCGATGGTTGTCTGTGGCTAGCCTCCAAATGTGAAGTATTCACAGCCACCTTAGTTTCCAAGTCTGCTACAGTCTAGACACACAAAAGCAGCAGCATACTAACAAAAACCTAACAAAAAATTTGTGTTCTGCACCAGAAAGTTGTGAAGTGGCCAGGGGAAGCTGACAGTAGCAGGCCAGTTAGCATTGTGCACAGCGCTCTGCAAGGTCCATTTCTTCCTCATTACCAACGCCTCTTACTCCTGCTGCTCGGCAGTCTGCTAGCCAAAAGCATCAAGATAATTAATGAAGATTAATTTTTAAAGAGTTTTGTGATACTTGAAGACATGTCTCAAGTACGCATTTGAGTTGATTTTATTAAAACACTTATTTGGCAGTTAAATGTTAGCTATTCCCTCCCAGGCACTTATTTGGTTTTGGCAGAAGGAATTTTTTAGGAATCTATGAATTAATTCAGGATTTTCTTCTCTTGAACAGAATAACAACCTAGCACAGGCTAGGCTTTGGATTCTGCTCCCTTCTATAAGGGATGTCTGCAGACTTTCACAGCTTAGAATTCTACGCTTGGGAATAGTGTCAGCACGTCAGTTCTGGGGCAGCATTTCTTGTGGGCTCACTGAGCACGTTGCTGGAGTCTGCCAGTTTGTATGATGTGAAGCCTCTGGACATCTAAAACAGATACTAACAAACCTGTTCCTTCTGTTTTGTTGCAGGCCTTCACGTGAGCTCCCAAACAGAATCAACAAGTAAGAGCTATAGAAGAGTTTGCCTCTGAACACTGACAAAACAGGCTGGTGTGGGGTGGGAGGGGGTCAGCCTGAGCAAAGGAAATGTTCAGGGAACAAGGAGGCCCTAGGGGAGGAATGAATCTGAAGTATAGTACAGAGAAGCAGAGGAGTAATGCTCAACTTGCAGCAATGGGTAACTTTGCTGTGATTCCAACTGAATGCCATGTTGGACTAGCAGATATTGAAAAGAAAACAGGGTGGGAGCACAAAAAAAGAAAAAATCAGGACTGATATATTGCGTGATGCAATGGGAAACTGATATAGAGTATTTATCAAGCAGCTTGTTCTTGTCAGTGGTTCTCATTCCTTGTCCTGTGGTTAGCTGCAGCAGGTCCCAGAGTAAAGCAAGAGTTTCCTGTGCTAATGAACCTATATTGTCCTATTTTCCTTTCTCTGGGCTTATCAGGAAACAGTCTCTTCTGTACTGGTCACTGCAGTTCTTGATGCTGCTGCCAGCAAAACCTTGTCCCTCCTGTTACCATGATGGATGTATTACTCCAATTAACTGTATTCTGATCTCAGATTATTCCATATCTGGAAATATCTTCCAGATTCACTTTCTAGATCCAGAGAAAGTAGACAGGATGGACTGGCTTGTGAGAAACTTTAATGAATTAAATGGGTAACCGAGTTAAAGGTTTTAATTCCTTAATCTATTTTATTCATTCAGTAATGTGTCTTTTTAGCTGTTGCATTTCTTACTGATGGTCTGAAGTAGTTAAAATGCTAACCTACGGACTTTTCTTTCCTGCATTACTCATATCTTGGTCATTTAACAGAGAACTAGGAAACAGTGGATTTGAATCCTCAGTTTTTCTCCTGAGGAGATGCTGCACAAATGCAGGGATACACATTCACGATTTTCAGTGTAATTTGTTTCTGTTGACATTTTCAGTCAGTATCGAGAGAACTCATTGCTGTGATAATTGCCTGCTTGCCCTGTGTATCATGTAGTATATCAGGTAAGGTAGCAAAAAGGGCAGCAGTATTTCCCTGGGAAATCTAGAGCAATAACATGGAATTACGAATTCATAGGAATTATTTCAGTCACTTGATGATGGCTCACAGTTTCCATCCTAACATTATCTCCCCTCAGCAAAGAGGCACCACAGGAGAGGGAACTTCTGCTTTAAAGAAACATAGTGATTTTTCAGAGATAAGGGTCTCATACAATGGTTGTTTCCTATGCTATAACATCAGAATATCTCAGCTGTGACTGTATTGTTTAGGCACCACACAAGCACATAGTAAGTGATCATTTTTCCCCAGGAGATTTCAGTCTCTGGCCAGACAAATGGAAGGGGGGATGGGGAGGGGAGGAAACAGAGAAGCTAAATAATCCACCCAAAATTCACACAGCTACACAACAGTAGAAAAAAAAAGTGAAAACACAGCGCTCTCAAATCTTTCCCTTTGCATTACCAGTCAATCCATATAAATTTTTAAGTAGGACCATATGGCTCCTAGTTACCTGGAAAATCCAGTGCACTGGCATATCCAGCAAACCTGTGGAGAAACTGGACTCTGGCTGTTCTCTGCTTTGTCCTCTTGCATCAGAAGACAACATACTCTCGCATGTCTGAACAGACTAGTATGATGTGAGAATAGGAATATGGGCAAAAGGAGCATAGTGGAGAAAAAACAATTAGCAAAACATTTCTCAACACTAGGCCTGAGTTTAAAATCAGTGCAGCAAGGAAGAGGGAGTCCTACATGTTTGGGACAAACAAATCTTGTTTGTTACTCTAATTCAGCAGACTAGAATTACAAGTACTGCCTATGCAAAATCTTCTGTAAAAATAGGGACATGTCATTCAGAGACTTAGCAGAACAAAATTGTATTCTAGCCCTCAAAATGGCCCTGGAAATTTGTTTTAATGACTCAGTTAATTTCACAGCTTCCACCTATCAATTTGAGCCCTCTTCTGTTCCTTGGAAGAGGAACTGTGCATCCCTACAGGTGTGGAATATGAGTGAGTACCTGAGTAATAATAGATCAGAGCCTGCAACAAAACCTCAGTGGCTGCTACCATGTTCTCACTGATTATATATGGATCTATACTCTATACTAGGACGCCTGCTTAAGAAACCACCTTACCCAGGTGCCTTTGTCTGAGACCCATTTCTGATGTTTAAATGAGCAATGGAAATGCTCGGCCTTGCATTACATTTGTCCAGCTGGTCCACTTCTCCAGCGGCAGTATGCACATATCTACTCAAGCCTCCATCCAATATGGAATACAATCCTGTGTGCTGTATAATGTAGCTAGGGAAGCACCAATGTTTGCTTTTTCTTCTCTCTCTCTGGAAGTTCAGTGATTGATTTTACACAGACTATATGCAACAAGGTAATAAATATTTTGGGTTGTTGATACCTGACTCAAATTCAGATTAGCATCTGAAGGTAGAAATGCATTCCTTTAAACCCTGCCCTAAAAAAAGCCCCAGAGGCTCCCAATGGTCATTGCTGTCCCCAAATGTGGCAGAGAGAGGACAGGCATCCCTTTATAACACTTAACTCTCGAGAAAATCTCTAGCTACTGATAGCGGACCTCTTTGGACTTCTTCATTTACTATTAACAATTTTTTTAATTAGCAGTGAAATATTTTGATCTTTCTTCTTTAGGAGGCAGGTCTAATTTTCACCCTCTGCTTGTTTATTTGCTTGTCGAGTTCTCTTCTAATGTTCAACAGTACCTTAACTTCCTAAAAGTGAAAAAGTTTGTAGCTCATAACCTGTCAGTGGACAAGCAAGTGATCCTAGGGAAGAATGCACCTGTGCAAAGTGTGTGTTTCTTCTAGGCCATCCCACCTGCCAAGTTATCCAGGCATTATTGAGAAGAACTGTAACTGGAGCACTAAATGGCTCCAGAACTGGGGATACAAAAGTTGTTTTGGGAGGTTAATTTTTTAGGGGAGTTTTTTGGGGAGATCTGGAAATTGCGTGCTAACCTGAAAGGCAATATTTCTTTTGCGAATCTAGGTTTTGGCAGTCACGGAAGCAGTTCTGGAAACAAGAAAGTGCCCGGGCATGATATCCATTATTCTAGTGAGTGTTCCTACTTTATTGTCCAGCTTTTGAGTTTTCAGTTGATCAGTTTGGCTTTTGATGAGTGATTGGAGTAGCAGAGAAACGAAACTGGCAGATTTATTTCTAGCCTTACCAGACGTAGACCCTATTGCAAACCCAATTTAACTTCCTGTTATAAAACTCCTCTCAAAGAGAAACAGAGTTTAACAAGTTGACACCACTCTCACTGGAGAGCAGCACAATTATTCCCAAGGACTGATTCAAAGTGATAAAACCGAAAAAAAATGTGAACAGTCATCCCGTGTGAGAGAAGACACAAGGAAACATATGAAAAATGTTGTTCTTATACTGTTATGGTTATATCCTATATGAAGTAGTGTTATGAATGTATCATATGAATACATTGTTGATATTGTCATGGGAGAGAAGGACTAGGAGGGAGTCTTCTGCAGACTCTTCAAGCATTTGGTATTTGCATGATGTATGTTACTTAATCTTTTATTTTAATATTATGCATCTCTAGGGCAAGAGTGTTGCTGCAGATCTGCTATTTCCTACCCAAAGTACTGGCTTAGCAAATACATTTGATGTTTTTCCACTGTAAACTTGTCTTCGGGTTCTCCCTTTAGTTCCATAGATGTACACATACATCTATATGAATATTAAATATTAATTGCATCGAAAGCCATCCAAGATGCTATTTCTAAATATCGGGCGGGCACGATCACTGATGCTGTGGGAACGCAGCCGCAGCCTCACCTGACACAGGGCTTAGGCCAGCAGGTAAGGGAGAGCCTGCTAAATTTGAATGTGGCTGATGGCTGCCAGAAAAAAAAGATAAATGGGGAGAAGCTGGGCTTCTGTATTTCCCCGGGAAAGCTTCTCTTTGTTACATAATTCTTTCCTTTTTACTTCTTGGCTGGGAAACACCTGTCAGGAAATGGCAGATGGTGGGAAATAATAAAAGGAAAGAAATGTCCTCATTTAAAAAGGAGATCTTGCATTTTCTATCCCTGGTTGTGAGTGCTGTGGGGAATGTAACTAAATTATGTAACTCCTTGGCATCTTTCTGGGTGTACAATGTTAAAAGAGAAATAATCACTTCAGTTGCTGAATTTCAGATGAGTCTTGTTTTCAAAAAAGAGGAAAAAATAAATTGCATGTATCAAAAATTTATTCCTGAAACACGACTGTTTCACAAAACCTTTGGGGGCCATCAACACTGAGGGTGAATCATGAATATTTTGATCAAGATTATGGTGGTCCCAGTGGGGTAGGTGTTAAAACCTCACTCTCCTACAGAAAAATGGGTAAAACCAGCACTACAGGGCAGGGCAAGCATCAGAGAAGGATTAAGGGTGGGGGAAGGGAGGTGCCTAAATCCTCCTTGCACAAAGATTGTGACCCTGCAGGTCAGTAGGTGTCAGAGGACAGGAGCAGCATGTTACCCCACTCCAGAGAAATTAGTGATGTTTGGTGAAGCGGAGCTGGAGGTGCCTCTCGCCTTTGTGTGTGTGAGTGCCTGTACACAGAGACAGTGCAAGCCAGGGCCAGCAGGCAAAATTACATTCTCCCTTTTTTGCAGGCATTATCTTGCCAATTGTCATCACCTTGATAGTCATTACCCTGTCTGTCTTCTCGCTGGTGGCTTTGTACAAAATGTGCCAAAAGAAAACTCCAGGTATTTTGTTTGCTTTCTCTGTAGGGGGAAAAAGATCAAAGTGCTATTTATTATTAAAAGATCTCTGGGGTCTTTTTAGACTACCTTAACCACAGAAGTTGCAGTAGTCTGATAGGAAAGCTTCTTGTATTTCAAAGTATTTTGTCTGAAGTAGGAAAGTAACACTTCATTTTCAAAATCAGTAGGAAGAACAGAGGGAGCAAAAACGTCTCTGATTGTGGGAGAATACATAATACCATAAAGCTTTTTGTTCATGGTTTTGCAGCTACAGAGAGATAACGAACAGCTTTGCTAACACAATAAGGTAGAAAAGGACAGCGAAAACTAAGTTTACAGATATTGTTTAACGAAATCACTATTTTATCTCTGTTCTAGATACAGGCAAAGAAATATCAATGCTTGCTTTTAGGAAATACCTGATATATACATACATACACACATATATATGTTATATATAAACAAAATTTTCCAGTTATAGTAGAATGTACATGGGAACAAAATCCCTGAGCAAATATATTTTCAGAAAAAAGCCATCTTGACAGAGCAGCTAAAGCCAGTATCTGTTTCACTGCTGTCCATGAAATACTTAAGATAACGGTGTATAATTCCATTAAATTCCATTTGCCAAATGTTTCAAAGAGTTGCCCAAGAGGGCCACAGGCAAACATAATTCTCCATTAAGTGAAAACCCAGATCTGAGTCCAGACTGTGTTTTTTCTCTTCCTGTGAGCTGGCATGAGTTAGGAGACCTGTGCAGAGCTTCAACTGTGAAATCACCAGGCCTTGGAAATATAAAATCACAACAGAGTTTTGAAGCTGTAGACCAAGGCAAACTGTGTGTCGCAACCAATTTAGCCAATGACATGGAAAACCAGACCCAGATAAAGAGAGGAAGGTGTGATCCATGCTTAGGAAATGACTGAATATTCAGAGTCAAGAGATAAAGGTATGAGGTGAAGAACATTTTCTCGCCAGCCTCCCCCATGCACAAATGCCAGCAGGGATGTTACTAGCAAATTCACTTGGAAGCTAGAGTAGACAGATATCTGTGGCGCTTCCTGTAGGATTTGCCCAGGCCCGTCCAGTGTCCACCCACAAATGGAGAGCCCTGTGCCCAGTGCCATGGGGTTGGGATTGGCTCTGTGTCTCCGATGTAACACTCTGACCCCATCCATCTGCCCACACTTACACATAAGAATAAAATATGTTCGGTATATGATACATTTGGGGAGAAGACTGTTCCTTGTCAACAGGGATGACAGGCTCTGTTCTCAGATGTTGTGCCAGGTTAAACCCAACAGAGTGTACAGCCTGGCAGCTTGTTCCTTCATTCCCCTCACCCTGTATCTTTTAGCTCAGTTGTTATGTACTCGAGAACCTTTGCGTGCTTGCCTCCTCTGTGCCAGCTACCCAGGGATTTGGGAGCTGCAGGGGAAAATGTGTTTCTGCTGTGCTCTTGAGCAAGTCACATATCATTCTTCCTAGTTTCCAGAAGTGTCGATTTGAGCAATGTCAGTTCACTTTCATAGATAACACGGTTACCTTTTGGGAAGATGAAGTAGAAAAGTAACAATTACCATTCAAACTGGTTGATTGTGTTAATGTACTTAACGCTATGCTGCAAAATCACACCTAAGCCTTCTGCTAGCAACTGCAATAGCTATGTCTAAATGTTTACTTAAGCGAGTTCTAGCAGCCAAAATGATATTAACTTTGTTCCTTCTTCCAGAGAGACAAGAGAACGGCACTGAACAGTAGGTTGAATCCTGTTTTTTCATTGCTTTCAGATCTATCATGGGCATTTGTGAATGCAACAGACTCTGCATGAAATTTTCTTTGATCTTTCTCTGTTTAAACATAATAAGCGGTTGCCGCCTCAGAGAGAAATAGTCCTGTTATTATACACCTGTAAGCATGATAAGCAGTTGTTCCAGCATGGATAGAAATGTGGTGGCTCTCAACTGTTTTGCAGGGGATCCTTTTGAAATGAATAAATGGCTTTTGCTGTGCCACAGGGCCCATTGGCCCAGGGTTTTTTCTCTTTTATACAATTTTTGCCCCATTGTTGTTTTTGTCTCCCCTATCCTTTCCCATCCCCCTTCATGTTTTCTCTCTCTTTACTGTTTTTTATTCTGGATTATTTTTCTCTTTCTTTTTCTCATGTCCCTCATTATTTCATGTTCCTCTGTCCCATCTTTTCTCCATTAGTCTATTTGCAGAGGCTCAGTTAAAATAGTATTGGCATAAGGAGTTTGAGGAGAGTGAAACTGAGAAAGATCTGTTAGAAGATAAATACTAGAGGCCATTTGGTCTGTTTGTGACTTCCATGTTTTGTATGACCAAAAGCAATGTTTGGGCTGCTGATTTACTTGCTAGCCCTGTCTCCCAGGACATCTGAAGTGGTCCTTCTTGCAATTCAACATGGCTAAAAGGCTTGTATTGACAGAAAAAAAAAAAGATTACTCCTTTTTTTTCCCCCCTGATGTACTTCTTCTGTGGAGCACTATATTGAAGCTGGAGTCATGCAACTTGATTTACTACATATTTTAAGAGAAAGGTGTTTTCTGAGATATTGGTATATGGTGATTTCCACTACCAAGACTTACACATGACACCACGCAAAGCCCATTTCCAGCCCAACAGTGTAAACTGGCACAGGTGCTGCCTCCTCCAGATCATAATCTTAGAGTTTGGCTGACCAACATGCATGGAATGTCTGCTTAAATATTTTCTGACTTCAACAGGGCCCAGTCAGATAAAGAAGGGGTCAAACTTCTTTCTGTGAAGACAACTTCTCCTGAGACTGGTGAGTGTTTCCTCTGTGTGTATGTCTGTCTCCCTCTCTAAGCCCCGTAGCGGTTTTGGGATGTCGTTTCCAATAGCAAAACCATCTTCAGCTCCTGTCAGGTCAAAGTCACTGCAAACAATTCCTCTACAGTGCAAATGCCCAGACTGGGAGCCTGTAGAGCTGCAGTGAAGCTGCACTGTGTGTGGTATCAGTATTTGGGAGGGAGAAATATGACTGGTTTAGGGAAAATAATTTTTTTAAATCATTGATGACAAGTGATCTACAGCTAGGCATGTTCAGGAGTAACCATGATCATGATATTTATCAGCTAGACCTGGCTGTGCAAGGAAGTTTGAGGACTGGTAATATCCCAGGGGCCAAAAGCTTTGGGAGTCAGTAATATCTGTAAATAGGGCTCTGCTGGAGTTGGTGTTGGTAGTGTCCAGTCAGTCCTGTACCCAGCCACCCTTTGCATTCAAAATTCTGCTGTTCTGTGTTTCACCGATCCAGTTTCTTACAAAATATGTGGTAATAAAACCTAAAGGAATAGAGGTTATAGATAACATGCACAAAACAAAGTAAAATCTCATCGACATAAATGAAGAGACAGATGCAGTTACAGACTCCGCAAGAAACAGAATAGCACAAAATAAGACAGGCAGAACAGCTATTCAAAAAAAAAAAAAAAGAAGAAAGAGCTACTTGTGATGAAACTTCCCCCCTTCTCCATTGCCATTCACTTCCTCAGCTGTGTAGGTCTCACCTTTGCTCTCACCTCATCTGCAGACATCCTCCATGAAAAACAGCCTCTTACTTTATGCTTTTTTACATATAACCCCCCCTTTTTAAGGTTTTTGTCCATCTGTTCCCCCTACTGATGTTTCAGAGGTTGCCCGATAGCTGCTGTCCCCTTTCCTCTAAATTCTCAGGAAGTCCTCTGAAATACAACACTTGATATGAACTATCCTGTGCTTGCCAGAGAGGCATATTTTGCACTCTCCAGCCTTCTCTGCAACTCCCAGAAGCTTTTGCGCAATCTGAAAGACCCATAGGGCAGCTCTGGCAGCCCTTGGAGAAACCAGAGTTGTGCAAGGTCCCTGCAGCCTCGCCAACACAGAGCAGCATGGTAGGAGGCTAGAGGGGGAGAAGAAGGTCCTGCTCCATTGCAGGATGCATCATTCTACCCCACTGCTGCTGAGCAAATGCAAGCTACGCTTTGGCACTTAAGCGACTCTGCTTTGGCACTTAAGTGACTGAACTTCAGAGCTTTGTGATTTGGGAATTTTTTTTTTTTTTTTTTTTTTTTAGTATATGTCTTTGGGAATTAATATTTGGCTTAATATTAAGGGGTGTGGAGTTGTGCGTATGTTTTCATTTAAAATCATAGTATTTTTGGAGAGCTGAATGAAGTCAGAAACTGGAATTCGTAGACATTTTTTGGTTGATTCTGCCCTCACACCAATTTCAACAATAAAGTCACTTCATTGGCAGCAGCAGTTATTTGTGATTTACGGCAAGGTAAATGAGAAAAGACTCAGGCACCCTGGTTGGTTTTTTTTTTTTTACACAAGATACAGCCTGGTGCCTGATAATCAGCTACTGGTTCACTAAGTATCCAAATATCTTCCATCCAGAGGATGCTTGATATTCTTTTTTACTGAAGTATGATGTATGCATGCTATAATTGGAAGGTATGAGTCATAACCATTTAGAAGACAAGATTCTTGCCCTCTTCTCATTAATACAATTCATATTTAAACTAGCTACCATTTTCTTTTGAATTCTTATGTCTTTACATGTTTCAAAATTAAACATGCTTTCACAGAAATGGAAGCACTGTTTTTCCCCAGGTTTTTTAGAGACACTTCTTAAATTAAAAGCAGTCTGAAAGCAGGGCCTGTTTTCTCAGAGAAATATTTGTCACTCCTATGGGTATTTTTGAATATGTTAGGATGCCTGCCCATTTGAGTAAGACTTACTTGCTTCATTAAAAGCTCAGGCATAAAAGCAAGTGCTTCTTACAGTATGGATAGGAACTTGAGGAATGTCTGACTCGTGGTCCCTCTTTCAACTAATGAAAGCTATTGCACTGCGTAAAACTTCTTTACACATGTTCTTCTTTTTCCTTTTTAGATGCATAAAATCCAGCTCATTTAAAATGGGAATTCATTGTCCAGCCATGTAGAAAGTGTATGGTGTAGCCACCTGTGATTGTACATACCACAAAACTACAAAAGTTTTGACTAAAACTGGAAAGTTCTTAAGACCAGCCTTAACTTTACAGACCTGCATCATCCTTTCACTATCAATAGGCTGCTGAGCTGCCTAAGCATAGATACAACAAAGTTTTGCTTTGACATGTATTCAAATTAAGATTTCTAGACATGTAAAAAACATATATACAAACCAAATAAGGATATGACCTACAAACTGCTCAAGCAGGCAACTAGAAAAACCTTGTGTCAGTGTTGTGCATGATATATCTTCACCAAAGGTTATGGTGAGTTTAATCTTGCCTTATTTTATCTACCTAAAAACTAAGCTGGCTGCACATGGTTGGCTGAAAGAGATATATGTGTCCAAAGGGCTATTTATCCCACCTGCCTTCGAAATGTATCTTGAACTGGAATGAGCTGACCTATGGAGGTCCATTGACTACTGAAGGATCCTATTTTAGGCCTTCTAAAATTAGGTTCTGACTATAAATTGAAAGAAAAAAGAAAGACTCCTTTTTCAGAAGCATAGCTGGATTAAATTTAATCAAGAATATTATTTCAAATACCTACAATTAACATGAAAGTATACAGGAAAAGAACAGTTTTCAGTTAAGCCTGGACTGAAGTATTGGTTTTTAATGGAGTGGTATCATCAGGAACACTAGGTAGCACTGAGCTTTAATATCCCCATGTTTTAAAACTCTTCTTAGAAAGATGGTGTTGCTGATAGCTGTGAGCTCTAAGCTACAACTGGTGGAGAATTGATGTAAAGTAAAAAAAACAGACAGACGAAACTAAACACTTGGAATTTTTCATGCACATTTGCCGGTGAACTGCAACACCTTTTAGGACTCATGAAAAATGTTGAGGGATGGAAATTCCTCAGTAACAAAAAGGTTGAGGAATACAAATTGGGGTAAGGCTGAATGATGCGTGATAGAAATATTGATACCTGAGTAATGACTTGACAGGTTTTTTTTATGGCCCCTGCCATATGGCCCCATTCTAGAGCAGCTAAAATGTATGAAGGGCCTTTATAGTAGCAGTACACCAGTTCAATATTCAGTACAAAGTCTCATATGAATGTGCAAGTGACACAATATTTCAGAGTTGTTAGGTATAATCCTGGTACCTAAGCATAAGATGATTCATTAGGGCATGATTTCTAAACTGTGTGTGCTCTCTTGAGATGATAGGGCAGGATATGACTTACTCGGCTTGTAGAGGTATTGCCTGTTCTGCATTGAATTTTCTGGAAGGATATTAAATGTGTCAAAGCTGATGTGTCTCAGATTTTGGTGAGGCACCAGGAATGAAAGGTGGCTGGAGAAAGGTCCATAGTACATGTCTGCATTAGGGCTTCCCAAAACACCCACTCTGGACACAAACAAAAATTCAAGCGTTGCTACTAAATGAAGTTGGGAAAATGTACCAGGCAAACATATATTTGAGGAGACACCTGACCTGTCACATGTGAAACACATTTAACTTATTGTAATCACATCGGAGAAAGGGATCAGTCAATATCTAGAGGTGCTTTCACATGGTGCTGCAGTACAAAACAGTATGAACCTAGGATGTAGAAGAACCAGCATTCCCTGTGTGCTCCGCGTCTCTTCCAAAAGCTGCTGTGGTTAACAATAGTAACAACCTTAGAGCTGTTATCTACTGCTTTAGCTGAATGTGCCTCCTGCCTCTAGATTTTCATAACACTTCTTGGGTGTGCCCCTTGCACAACATGAGCTACCTACCTTGAAGATATGTGGGATTTCATGGCATAGATTAATTGGACCCCAGAATTACAGTCACTTTTGAGATGACCCTAGTTTGTGCCTGCAGCATTCTCCTGGACTTCCTGAATTTCTGAAGCCTTCTCTGTAAAGGCTTTGAGGATTCCTAGCTTTCAACATCCAAGGCTGGTGTCAGTACTATACATAGTGATCGAGCACCAAAATCATCCCACAACAAAGAAAAAAACCTTGTTCTCGTTCAGCACAAAAACTTGCCTCTGTCACTGGAATACACACGAAGTTCAGCACCTGACGAGACAGCCAACTGTGGTGCTAGAGTTTGGACCTGGAAAATCCTGTGATCTTCTGAAATGACAATACCTTCATCACCACTTTCTGTGAATCTCCTGAGACTGTTTAATTGTTCTGCCTCATACATCAAACCATAGGTATGGCTATGGTACAGTGGAACAAATGTGGAGCTGGGGCAGAGGATTATTCCTCCACGGTTTCTGTTATGCTAAGCACATCTGAACACGGACTGTGGCATTTAAGGAGGTAAGAAATCTTTGGGGTTTACCTCATTAGGGGCCCAATCCAGGGAACTTTACCCCTGCCAGGGGACATGGCTCCATAGCGGGTCATGGGGTTTCTCTGCATTGGTAGTTTCATGTCTCTCCTGTTTTGTCTAGGATCCAGGTGGATGCCTCTAGGAGCAGGTGAAAAATCCAGGTCTCTAGGTGAGGCACTCTGTCACTGAAAATTCCCTTCCCTCCTCCTCTCAGTTGCAAGGTAAGCAATGCAGGTCAGCAAAGAGCAGCCTGCTGGCATGCTGCGTGCTTAGAAGCAGTAAGAGCAGGTGTTCCTGCTAATGTGAGGGTATGATATTGATTGTTTCTTTTTCCTGTTATGAGCTGTACTTTCAATGCCTCATTTTTTTTTCCCTGCAGGTAGAAAACATAGAAGCTGCTCCATAGAAAAGGATCCTCTCACAACAGAAAGATAGATCAAGTACCTGTTTCCCTTTTCTTCTCAAATACTCTATTTTTTTTTTAACCTTGTATTGTATAATGGCCTGAAGTTCTGTTTTCTTTCATCACAGAAACTGAAGAATAAACTTTCTCAGCTTTTTGCAGCTCATGGCTGGATTCTGTTTGTGTTTACTTGCACCTCAAAGGTTTGACTGCACACACTTGCAGCTGAAACTTGGGCAGAACTGTAGACAGAAACATTAAATAGTGTATCTTCCTTCTATATTTCTAATTCAATCTGTGAGCTGCGCATGTTTGCAAGGGTTTTTAAAGCAGTTGCTTACACTTAGAGACTGCTGAGGGTCAGGTGATGTTTTCTTCTGTGGAGTGTTTGCTAACTTTCCACTAGCCTGCACCTTTCTGAGATGCTCCTCTGCTGAGGGAGCTACCTCCCACCTTTTGCTGGCCATTCAGCAGCAGTTGCCTTCCTATCCTTCACCTGAACGCTTCTGTACGTGCACTCTCTGCCATAGTGAATTGTACAGATCCTTCTGTCCTGCTGACGGTGGCAAGGAGCAGCTTGCAGGGGCATGAGTGAAGTGCTGGCAGGGGAGAGCTGCAGCACATCACATGTGTTGGACCCACTGGCCCACTCAAACCCAGCCAGTGCATCTAGGCACTGGGTCCCACTTCGTGCTGTTCTCTAGCATCTGTAATGCACCCCTCTTTCTTTTAGTTCAGCATGGTATAAATAGACATTTAGATTCTTGTGTCTGCAGAGGTAGTTTTATACTTTTATAAAAAACAGGTTTCTGCAATCTTATTTTATGAAACACTTGCTTTAGTTCTTTGCTCCAAACCACATTGCCACTTAGGAGCAATTTCTCAGCAGCAGTTATTACAGTGAAATAACAGTACAACTCATTTTCTCTTACAGACAGTGTAATCTGAGATGCAATACGACCTATTTTTTATGTCAAAGACTATTTTTTATACCCTTTTTCCTCCAGTTTTCCTAATAATGTCAAAGAGGGCTTTTCCCAGGTCAAAGACTTTCTGTATTCTTAGAGGTATGACCTGTTAACTCTCTTTTATATCATCATGTTCTGCAGTGTACGCGTGTTCTGAATAATACATTCAGATTCTGAATCAAATGAAGGAGGGGAGGAAATTACAGTGAGATTAGTACAACAGCCTTCTACAAAGGCATGCTCTACAAAGAAATGTTTGTTTCAGAGTTTCAAAATTTATTCTATACAATCTGTAATTTGAGCTGATTATGTGCCCATTACTTATTCACATATATTGGCATCAGGACGCAACATTAACAATCGGAAACAAATATATTTATGAGAGTGAAAACTCAAATCAAATACTGCACAAGTGAAATTTTAATTAGGAAAACCACTGCGTTTTCACTGAAGCACTATTACTTTCCTGGTTAAACATTTAACTTTGCAGAACCCTTCGTATATGTGTACTCAGTCTACTTCCTATGCACTTAAATATGTTGAAGGATCAGGAGTTATGAATAAAAAATTTTTCTTATTACATCTTCCTTATCCTTATCCTTTTTAGGTACGGCAGCATTTTAGAGGAGGATGTATGCAGTGCATATTAGATCAGGCCCCGTGCCTTCACTGCTAATTTACTTGGGTGAATCAGTGATTGAGGCTCCAGCAGAAGTGTTTGAGGGGTGCCACGTGGGAGGCCATGTGTATGAAATAATTAATACACCAGTGCTGTATTATGGTAGTTGCTAGAGCACCTTCTCTTTTAATATTGAAGCTAAGAAGCTGTAATCTAAGCCAGCTGTACCTACTCATATCCTGGATTTATGTAGCCCCGAATCCTGTCACTGAGGGCGGCTAGCACGAGATGTAAAGGGAAGAACAACAAACAGGGAAGGAGTCCAGTAATGTGTCCTCTGCCATAGCATTCCAGCAGTCTGTGGCTTGGAGATGTCCTGAATCAGAGGTTGCATCTTTGGTTCATGGTTCTGGGCAGCTTTTACTTCCACGAATTTGTCTTATCCCCAGTGGCATCCGTAGCCTCCTGTCTCAATAAGTTTGACAGTTTAACTACATTTCTGTCTGTATTATATGACAGTAAAGTTTAAAGACTTCAAGGGTCCTATGTCTTTGTGTTTACGATCCAATTTTAGACAAAAATCAACAACCAGGTGCGACATTAGAAGATGAGAGTGAGAATAAAAGGTTTAATG